CCTGCTGCTGCTCTAACTGCTGCCCCAGCTGCTGCTGCTTCTCCTGCTCCTTCTCGCTTCACATATCAAATTATCCTGGCCATTGCATTTGAATGTCATGGCTAATTGAATTAGCTTCTCCACTGTCAGCGCAATTTAAATGAATTGAAAATTCTGCTGAATTATGCTGTTCCCATGGATAAAATATTACATTTATTATATGCGGTTTATATATGACATATTTTCATATTTTAGTTCATATGCATATCATGATCTCAAATAAAATTTAAATAAATATGTACATACATATACATACATACATATATATATAGCTGTATATATATTTGTCAAATGTCAAATGTTTTTTATGGCTGCTGCATTTGCTGCCTGCGCGTTTGGGTTAATGCAAATGTGCTTTTAATGCAATTATTTAAAGCATTTAGCCAACGGCCCAAAAAAGAAGAAACACGTGAGCAACAGCAGCAACAACAAAAATAATAATAACAAAGGCAATTAAACAGTGTGATTAATGCACGAAAATCCATTATGAAGCCGTAAAATGGGCATAGCCGACTGCAGGATACTTGTTTATAGCTGACAAGCTTGGGAATAATATATTATAAATATTTTATATATAAAATATTTATTTGNATAATTATTATTTTAATATATTTCATATGAGAAAATTACATAATTTATAGGCATTTATTTATGTAGAGATGAGAGACCTTTGGGAGGTTTAATGCTGTGATAGAATGGTTTGTGGTCTGAGTGCTTTGATAAACCCTTTTTCCAATGGGTTCAAGCATAAATAATATATGCAAATATTCTCCATTTCGCACATATACATACACATAGTCTATAGTACTCTTTCATTCCACATTTCAAGGCTCAGGCAGGCAGATGAATTTTGTGTGAAGCCAATATACTCTGCTGACAGTTTGTGATAGAGCTAAAAATATATTGAAAGCTGGTTGCCAACGCAACATCAGTCAAGGGGCCGAGCGGCAAACCTTTTTGTTTTTGGGGTCAACCACGAAATATATACACATATATGTACATCATATATGAATGGATATATACATATATACACAATATTGTTTACATATCGATGTATGTGGGCTGTTTGGCTTTACTGGGCGTATGGTTGATATTCTTGTTGTTGTTGTTGTTGTTGTTGTTGCTGCTACTGTGGCTGTTGTTGCTTATTCATGCATATGCATGTGTCGGAAATTGTAACGATTATACGCCGGACACACACAGGAAACGGCGTAAATCCCCCCTTTAACACATTTAACCAATTCAGTCATAGACTATCGCTATCTCTCTCTCTTTCGCTCGCTCTCTCCTTTAAGCCATCGAACATTATTAGCGTTTATTGGAGCTCTGCTCATCAGATGCCGTGGCGTGGCGTGACAAAGCGTGTCGCAACATTTTAATGTTGTTTCGCTGTCATTTGCTCTTGAATGAAATTTAAAATACGCCAGCCTCTCGAGTCGGCTCTCTGTACTACAGCGGGCCTTGTCGTTGATTCTTATAATGCACTTTTAATTAAAGCAAATAGGAAGAAGATAGATTGCAGACATAAATCAGTTGATGGCGCAGCGCAGCGAAATTGAAGCCAAACAAAGTCATTAAAAGTTTTGCCGTGACTTTTGCAGTTGCGTCTAGAAAACTTCGCCAGCAGAACTGATGCAGTCAGTCGAGTGAGTGATAGGAAAAGACAGAGACAGTGATAGTGAAATACATATCTCTATATATATATATGTATTAGAAAGAGGCAGGGAAACCAAGAGTGAGAGAGCGAGAGAGGTAGCTCCTTGTATTTGCATCTGAAGGTAACTCCGCCCACCTCCGTTTGTTGAGCTGAGAAAGCAGCTCATTATAAATTTGTTGATGCTGCATATCTCGAGCTCTATGGCTATGGCCGTGGCTGTGGCTCCTTCTGGCTTCACTGCCTGGCAGGATGTGCTGCAGCACATCGTTTCCTGCCAGCTGCTGCTGCCTTGGCCGTATCTCTAGCTTTTTATGCAACAGCAGCATCAGCAGAAGCGAAAGCCATCTCTCTGGCATTTCATTCTCGTCGTCGTCGTCTTTGGTTTTAGCTATGATGCGGATTTACGAGCACCAGGAACTTGTCTAAAAATCACGCATAATTTATTTACCATAAACAAGATGAAGAAACAAGCAAAGTCAAATGTGAGGGTGGCCGCAACGGGGCTGTCCTTGGCACACCCAAAGGAACTACGACGACGACGGATGGACGGATGGACGAACGGACAGACGGTTCGTTGGTTGGTTGAAGCTCGTTAATGTTGCGAAAAGTTGTTGCCTGTCATCGTTTCACTTTGCCACATGTGCCGCTGCAATATACGCAAAGATTGGCTGGCTCGCATTGCTGTTCAAAWTATGATGATGATGATGATGCTGTTGTTGCTGCTGCGGCTGCCACAGAATATGCAACATTGAAATACAACATACAAAATGCAAGCGTTGTGAAAAATTGAAAGAACGAAACAGAAACAGCCAGCAGAAGGAGGGGGAGGAGGAGGAGATGAAGCTGGGGTGCTGTTGGTAAACGAGCTGAAACTAAAAAGCGAGCACAGCCATAAAAATCGTTTTATCTTCATTAGAGGCTGGCTGGATAAAAAATAAAACAGCCAACAGCCAGCAACACTCACACACACTCAGAGAGCTAAAAGGATTGCCGTGTGGATAACTAAAGCCTGATCATCGAATAATATACCTTGCTGAAAGCTCATACGGATCACTATTAAGAAAATTGGGTCACACACACCCAGTGAGAGAGTGAGAGAAAGAGAGAGAGAGAGGGAGAGTGGGTACGAACAGCTTAGGCAACTCCGCAAGCCACCAACCCACTCAGACAACAAGCTAAACAACATGAAGCATGAAGTCTCTGCATGCATTGAATAATAAATGCAATGAAAATAAAAATAAAAACTCACTGAAGAACACTGAGCTCGAGCTCGAGCCAGCAGCCATCGGGCGGACGAGCGGGCGAGCGAGAGAATATAAAAATAAAAGAGAGATAAAAAGAAAAATAAAACGAGAAAATAAAGATAAAACGCTTGATGCTGGGATAAATGGCAGATGCATGTAGACACGAACAGGAACTGCAGCACCTCAAGGATAAACAGTTGAGCCACCAAGTAGATACATGCAGGTGCTGCTGCCGCCGTTGCTGCTGCTGCTGTGGGTGGGCAAACAAGTTAAGGGGCTGCAGCTAGCCCCAAAGCAAACGAAGCACAGCTCGGCTCTTAAGTGATATGCAATAGCAGTTAGAGCAGACCTGAGTAGACCAGAGTAAGGCATGAATCCACATGGCATGGTATCCATCTACAGCTATAGATAGATAGATAGACGACTAGGCCAGTCGTCCCATCAATGTAAACACATGGCAGTTAGCCTTCGCTTGCCCGTTTGCCGTTTGCCGTTTACGATTCATTGAGGGAGGGCAAAGGTTAAACCCATTTAAGCGACAATTGAGCGCAATTAAGGCGAGCGAAAACACTGAAATCATTTTAGATGTTAACTGCCATAAAAGCGGCTGAATGCAGCCGACTAAAGCTATGATCATTAAGCTGTAATCATGAGGATATCATATAGATATTGAGAGAAATTTCAACAATTCGAAATCATAGAGAGGTCATTGAAATCGTGCTGCTAATTACGTTTGTGAAAAATGAAAGCATTTTCTGTTATAGTGCGGAAAATTGAAAGCATTTTCTATTATATTTTGCAAGCTGTGAACAAAAAGCAAATGAAAATTCTTATAAAAGAAAAACTGTTTTAGATATCAATTTGTTTCTGGTTTTGCATTGAAGCTGCATTCATGCTATTAGAAGAAACTATATGAATGGCTGAATATGAATATGAATAGCAGAGAATAGGATTCCATGCGTCTGTCTTGGCTGTCTTTAAGCTTAAGGTCAAATATGGCTTCACTTTGTTTAGCATTTACGATTATGATGATTATAGTAAAAGAATCTCAAATTTAATTTCCTGTTTCTCTTAAATATACTTTCTTGCTGCTTCATCAATATTGTTTGCTATGTCAATAATTTTTATATAAATTCTTCTTATCAATATCTCTATCAATGCTTATCTTTAAACCCAACACAATGCGTTCAAGGTTCAACTTTTTACTGTTGCTTCGAATGCCGGCTGACTGCACAACAAAATTAGCTGTATATATTAACAGCTTAGCCAGTATTTCGGTAATTGTTTTTAATTATTGCCACACGTTCGACAGCTGTCAGATGATTCATGATCAAATGACAAATCATATTGAATAGAACAACACTTGTATATTAGCGATAGCTGAAATATGATTATCGCATATAATATCACACGTATTCCTCTGGCTTTTGTTTATCACTAGCCTGACTTTCGTAATTATTAATTAATTGAAAAGATGTCTACTTGAATTTATGAAATTAAAAATCGATTTTTCTGCCCACTTAAATCAGAAAAGCAATTAAATTTCAATGAAACTCGGTGCGGAAAGTATTTTAATATACTTGATAGACTTGCAAACCTTTGGTAAAATACAGAAATGCATATAGGATATGTATGTATATATTATATATGCTACACACATTGTTTTATGTGGCTGCAATTTCAATGTGTGAGCGCAAATGAAAGAAAAAGGAGAGGGGGAGAGGGACAAAGAGTGAAAAAAAAACAGAAAAAATTTATTGAAAATATTTGCATGAATGAAGTTGTACAATGGGCACATCCCACACACAAACACACACACACACACACACACGCACGGCAGGTGTGTGCAAATATGCAGATGCGCAGCCAAAGGTAGAGTATTGAAAATCGGGCATTGGCGGGCGGAACGAAAGTCGAGCAACTTAACGAGCCGCTGCACACAGATTGCTTCAGTGTTTCCTTGTGCATTTGCGAATGCACATTTTGATTAATGCTGCATCTTTTTCTATCTCTATCTCTCTCTCACTCACTCTCTTGCTTTGGCATTTTTATGTTTGCAGGCGAAACGCATACAGAGCAATGAGCTGGCCGCCATCAAAGTTATTAAGCTGGAGCCCTCCGACGACATACAGATCATCCAGCAGGAGATCTTCATGATGCGCGACTGCCGGCACCCGAACATCATTGCCTACTACGGCTCCTATCTGCGGCGCGACAAATTGTGGATTTGCATGGAGTACTGCGGCGGTGGCAGCCTCCAGGATATCTATCAGGTGACCGGGCCGCTGACAGAGCTGCAAATTGCGTACATGTGCCGCGAGACGCTGAAGGGCCTGGAGTATCTGCATCAGAAGGGCAAAATGCATCGTGACATCAAAGGCGCCAACATTTTGCTAACCGAGAATGGCGACGTGAAGCTAGCCGACTTTGGTGTCTCCGCGCAGATAACAGCCACAATTAACAAGCGAAAGAGTTTCATAGGTGAGTGTGAAGACAAATAAAACAATATTGATATGTAATAGTGTAAAGCCAATCATATAATAATATAATATATAACACTAATATTCTATATATTCAGAAATATCCCCAAGAGTTTTGTATATACAGCTTTTAGTTGTTAGCCCACGCTGCGTATGCTTAATAAAGATAACTTTCTACAGTCCATTCAGTAATAATATCATTCAACATAATCTGTAAATTTCTTCGTTTTTAATTGGTGCATCGCACACGCTGCGTATGCGTAATATAATTGCATCGCTATCGCACTCGACTCAATCATAAAGCTAACAGCTTGACTAATGTTTGCCTACGCATAAATAAATGCAATAATAATCATATAATGCTTATCGAATTTCCAATTTGTGTGCAAATATTCAGTTAGCGCACGCTGCGTATGAGTGATGTCGTTATTTGGTTTGCATTCAAATTGAAGCACTTAACACATATAAATATATGCAATACTTGTTGCCCAGCATAACGGAATTGAATAATTTAGTTCGGAGAACTTTATCAATTCATAATTTGTTTGTAAATATTCAAGTTTTATTTAGCTACGCTGCGTATGCGTGATATTGAGATTTTAGCCAGCAGCTGCAATTGGCCCAAGGCGTTTTAGCAGCGCTTTATTTATTTATGAACTTAAATAGAAATGTGCACAGGACACAATTTCAGCTCAGACCCAGCACCTTGTTGTTGTTGTTGTTGTTGTCGGTTGTCTGTTATCTGTTGTTGTCTGCGTTGCAAATATTGGGCTGCTAACAAATGCGCAAACTGTTGCAACAGCTGCGCTCGCTGTGTGGCACACGATTTATGCAAATGGAATAGAGGCGATTTTTATGACTATGTGCAGATGTACAAATGTATGCGAATAATATCTTGGCATTATTTCCACAACAACAAATACGAGCGATGGAGCGAACGAAAGCAAACGGACAGACTGACAAAGCAGAGGGACAGAGAGAGAAAGAGTGAGACATGCTGCATCGATTTAGCTTAAGTGTTTATCATTGTGTAGAAATGCAGAAACAGCAGACATGTTAGCTCACACAGAGAGAGAGAGAGAGAGAGAGAGAGAGAGAGTGAGAAGCATGCTAAGAAAGGGACTCTTTGACAGGATTCTGACAGTAACCGCAATTGCTTTTCACGCTTTTAAACACTTGCACAACAACAGCCCCAAAACAAACAAACAGACAAACAAATAAGCATGAAAAAAGAATAGGAAATAGGAAGGAGCAAAGCGAGAAAAGTATAAGAAGAAATAAAATTTTGCTGAATGATAGACTAGCAAATGCTACGTATTATTTGAAAGTCCAACAGAAAAATAGCAATTAAATACTTACAGGATATTAGAGAGAGAGAGAGAGAGAGAGAGAGAGAGAGTGCCAAAAAAGCGTGTGAAATAAACAATGGAAAATGAAATAAATTGCCAAGAAAATAAAGAACTCAACTGAGCTGAAGTAATAAGAATAATAATGTGCGTGGCTTAGAACAATAATAATCACTTGAGTAAAAAAGTGCCAAACGCACAGCTGAGCGAGACAAATAGCAACTGATTTAGAGAACGAAAAGAATGAGAGAGAGAGAGAGAGAGAGCGAGTGTGAGATTGAGAGAGCGAATGAGTGAGTGCATAATTTAAAGGCATGTGAAAGAATTCAATTTAAAACGAAAATATCAAGTGCAGACATGGCCCAAGCAAACATAAGCGAGGACAACCAACAACTCGAGGCCAGCCAGGCAGACGGACAGGTGGACAGAGGTAGTTAGGCTGGCGCTGGACAGTTACCGTTTCAGGCATTGTTAGCTGCCCGCTGGGCAGTGCAGTGCGGTGTGGTGTGGCTTCAGCTCCCATTGAGTTTTCATTTTGTTGCCAAACTCAGTGGGAAAAAAAAGAATGTAATTTCTTAAAAATGTCCCTTTTGGGGCTTCTGGACTTGGTCTTTTGCTGAACTGGCAAGGGTCTGGTCTTGCATGAGTGCCACTCTGCCTCTCTCCCTCTCTCTCTCTTTCTCTCTGTCTGTCCCTCTCCCCGTTTCACTCACTCATATCTGCACTAATAGATTCTTTTTGCTGCGCTGCCTTAAGCAGCTTTCGGCTCAAGGCAAACGAGACGAGCAAGGCTTCGCTTTAAGACTTGAGCAACGGGTTGTATACGTAATTTATATGTAAATATTTACTTATCAGGCAAGCGTGCAGCCGAGATGAAAGTCTGTAAGCCTTGTCAATCTTATTATAATTCCAAATTTAGAAAATTCTTCTCTTACACACACACACACACGCACACACTCGCGCATATTTACCCATTGCGCAAGCCTGAGACTGAGCTCAAATCAAGCGAACCGTTTCGCTATTGGTAAACTATGTAACCGAAATGGATGAGTAGAGGCTTTTGTTTTGGTCAGCTTTAATCTGTGACGTAAATCGGTTGAGTGCTCGCTGGGCTGAACAGTTAATTAAGTTCTTGAATTCTCGGCGAGTGCACTTGATAAAAGGAAACTTTGCTGACTTCTGACCGTTTGAAGCGAAGGCTAAGAGGGGCGCGTTAATTAAATTATGACAGCTGCCCCGTCGACAAGCGCGTGCCTCCTGCCAGCCACGCCCCATTCGTATTTGCTTGAAACAGTCAATAAAGCGTAGAGCGCAGCGGGAAGCGGAGTGGAGTTGACATTTGAGCTGTGACTGCAATAAAAAGCAAAGACGCAGGCGAAGACGAAGACGAAGACGAAAAAGGTTTTATGTCAGCAGGGATTTATGCAGAGAGCCTGGGCATATCCTGGCCTTGCACAAGGTTGGGTTAGTGCTTAATGCGTTCGCTGATGTCGTAAAAAAATCTCAACGTTTGCGCATAAATTTCAAGATTTGACAGCATTTGAGCTCGTTTCATCCAAACGATTTGCTGCTAATTGTAAGCCCGTAATGTGATTTATGTTGTCTATAAAATCTACTGCAAAAGTCATTAATAATATTGAGTAATGCCTGTAGATGGACACTAATCGTTTTTATTCGCTCCCTGTGCGCATTAACGATTCCGTTTAACCAGAGAAAAGAGAGAGAGAGAGTAGAGAAAAAGAAACAATCTCTCACATGTCAATAGCTGTGGCAGCGACCCAATGAGTGTCAGGATGCTGCAAATGACAAACAGACAGAGAGACAGACAGACAGACAACGACGGGCAAAGGGCATATGTAAGCGAGATGCAGACGATTGTCTCCTGAGTGTCTGCCTCTGTCTGTGTGTGTGTGTGTGTGTTTGTAGTTGTGTCTGCAGTTGGCAAACAATGTTGACTGTCGCTCAGTTTTATCATTTCGAGAGCTCCTTCAATACACGACATTGTTGCTGTGACAAATGTGTTGATAAACACACACACACACACATACATGCATACACAGAGATGAATCTGGTGTCTGTGTCAGCTCCGCTCTGTCTATCATAGTGTCTGCATATGAAACCGCAAACAGAACAAATAAAACAGACACACAGACACATCCACACACACACACACACACACACACACACACAAACACCAGCTCTATTACAGACGCTGTAACGGCTGCTGCAGGACAACGGCGACTGCTGCCAGCTAATGTCTTATCATTTAATAAAAATAATCAAAAAGCGTGCTTATGCCTCTGTTTAGTGTCACTTAAAAGTCAGCTGCAACCAACGGCACTCAGCGCCATCAACGGCATCATCAACGGCATTGTCAGGCTCGTTGTCACCTACTCTCTGCTGTGGCAACAGCTGAGCTGGCGACAGCCGTGTCTACATGCAATAAAGCCAAATGTGATTCTCGACTCGGCTCAAATCTCACACACCCACACACACACTCACTTACTCTCTGCCTCGTGCATTGGTGTACGAGTCTCGAGAGCTGAAACTATTTGCCCTTTGCCTGTGCTTGATGGAGAGTAACGAACTCCTTATTTTCAGTGTGACCCTCTCTTTGTTGTAGACCTGCATATTTCACGGCAGCCAATGTGCTTGCTAGCTGTCTCTCTCTCACATTATTATTATCACAATAGCATTCAATTTTAATCTCTCTCTATCTCTCTCAGTATCACTCAGTTCTTCTCTACATTCTCTACATTTCTCTAACTGCTTTTCTGAATATCTTTTGCTTTTCCTCTGTCGCTCCCTCGCTTTATCTCGCCTTATTCCTCTCTATATCAAACTTTTACTCTCCGTCGCGCACTCCTTCTATGTCAATCACTAATTCTGCCTTTTCTCTCTGCCTCTTGGTCTTTATAATTCTAGTTTTCTCTCTCATTCTCATTCTTGCGCTCATTATACACTTTCTGCATATATTCTTCTGTCTTCTTCAGTTCCTCTTAATCTCTTTATATTTCTTAACTGTTTCTCATTGTCTCTCCAGACAGAGAGTGAGGCACTGTCCGATATCTAATACCTGTCCAATACCAAATATCTGTCACTCTCAACTCACTCTGTATATCCTCGTTCTCGTTCTTTCCTTATCTGTATCCTTGTCTGTCTCTGTCTATCTCTCTGTTACGCCTTCTCTCTCTAGCTCTTCCTCTGTTTTTTATATCTTATAAATCTTTCTCTCTCTCTCTCTACTGGCCATCTCTCTCTATTTTCGTTAGAGAGTATCTATTAATTGTGCAACGCTCGCAGCAGACATTCAATTAACAGAATTGCTGTCACTTTTGTGTCCTCATCGCTCACATTTTAATTAAATTGTGCGCCAACTGTGGCCACTGTTGTCACATGTAGTGAGAGCATTTAATTCTGAAGGCGGAATTGTGGAATGTGGCATGCCCCAATCTCAATTAAGGCATTTTGTCATTCTTTTTTTACCTCTGCTGGTGTTTGATTGAATAATGTTTTTTATGCAGCAGAATGCATAAGAATAAAAAACAAAAATATGTAAATTATTTAATGCTAGCTTAAAGGTATATATTAGTTAGGGTATCTGCCGGTCAGGCATACCCGAATGCAGCTAACATTAAGCTAACTCATATTGTTTGCTATGCCGTAACTCATCCACATTTGTTCTTCTTCTTCTTCTGCAGGCACGCCCTACTGGATGGCGCCCGAGGTGGCCGCCGTGGAGCGAAAGGGCGGCTACAATCAACTCTGTGATATTTGGGCCTGCGGCATTACGGCAATTGGTGAGCAGCATTCCTCATTGACAGTGGCAAATTGATTGCACTTGATTCAATGTTTCTCTCTCGCTCTCTCTCCCTCTCTCTCTCACACGATTAGAACTGGCTGAACTGCAGCCGCCGATGTTCGACTTGCATCCGATGCGCGCCCTGTTCTTGATGTCGAAGAGCGGCTTTAAGCCGCCGTCATTGAGCAACAAAGAGAAGTGGAGCCCAACGTTTCACAGCTTCATCAAGACCGCACTGACAAAGAATCCAAAGAAGCGACCAACCGCCGAGCGGCTGCTCCAGCATCCCTTTGTACAGAGCGAGATGTCGCTGCGAGTGCCCAAGGAGCTGCTCCAAAAATACCAGAGTCCCAATACGCCATACTACTATCTCGACGGCGACGAGGAGGTAAACACTGCCCCATGCCCCACGCCCCAACGAGAACGGACCGTGCCCCCGAATGCCTTTTGCCACCTTATTTCATTTTTTGCTCCTTTTCTTACGTAATTTATTTGCGCTTTTAGCGCTGCTTCGCTGCCTGGCTGCCTGGCTGCCTCTTGCCTGCCCCAGTTATATTTACTTAGTTCGCCACAATGGCAGCAAGTCCTGAAGATTTAGTGGCCCATTAGACACCTTGAATCCTAATTTAAGGGCTCGACTACCCGAGGCAGTGGCCCTAATCATTTTCGCTACGCCACAAAATCAATACGCGCTGAGTGCGCAGAGTGCAAGCGAAGAAGTTTTTAAATAGGCCAGGTTAAGTAGGAGTAAGTCCTGCACGCGGCTCCAAACTTCTTGGAAGTGCTGCGATACAGTCCTGATCTGACAGTCGACGAAGCTGCTAAAACTAAACAATTACGACATGAAATCTAAGCTAAGCAACTAAGTTTCATACCTTAAAAGTAAAGTTTGGCTAAGGAACTCGAACTCAATATATCGTATATATATTATAAATCTATATATATTATCAACATAGCTAGAGCACTTAGAAAAGAAAGTTAATTTATGTAGTGAAGTTAACTCGATTAAGATAACCCCTGAACTATTTGAATAACTTGCCCAGCTGAAATATACCCTAACTTTGATCAATTTTGAATCTGAATTAATATTGAAACTTAAACTCTGTTTGATTCAAAAGCTAATATGCTATCTAAACAACACAGCTGCTATATACCCCAACTTCTATTCAATTTTAGTGTCTTTATTCGTTTCCATTCAAACTTGAAACTCAAATTCAGATCAATTTTCATATTCCTCTTTAGCTTCATTCCTTTCGAATAAGCTGTAAGTTCAACCTAGCCTATTTTTCATTCCATTCAAACCTAAACTCCAAGATATAATCATAATTTTGTTCAGCTTCTCTCTAAGCCCCATTCCCAACTTCAGTATACCCTAACTTTAACTGATTTGCCTACAGAAATAAAATACATATTTATATTTATTATTAGTTTATACTAATTTTCACATTTTAGTCGAGCTGTTGCGGTTAATTCGATTGAGTTACCTGGTAGCTGGCTTAAATAAAATTTAAAATTTAAATGAATTTTTATAATCTTGAAGACATTTGGCTTATGCCTTAATGTCCTCGTCGTCCGAGTTCGTCTAGAAGTCCATAAAGCCGTGTCTAACAAATGCAAATTTAATGAAGGACCAATTTAAAAAGTCATTTGTGTGTGTGTGTGTGTTTCTGTGTGTGTGTGAGAGGATGGATGTGCCTGTAGGCGGCATGTCAATTCATAAATCTTCAATTTGTTTGGCTGTTTTGCGAAAACTTTGCGCTGTCAGTCACTGTCCGAGGCGACGGCGCTTGCTTAGCTCTTCGCAGTCAACTTGCATTATATACATATATATCGTAATATATACATATATATATATATGCAAATTTTACTTAGTGCCAAGTTTTGTTATGGCCAGGCGTAACGCATGTCTCAGCTCGGCTGGCAGTTTAGCTCTTTCCCCAACAGGAGGGGGACAGGGGCGGACGAATATGATTTTGATTTATGAGATTTTATCGTAAGCTGAAAACTTTGTCACCAGCGACTGTCCAAGCGTCCCACAGTCCCAGCGTCTGTCATTAAAACTAACTTTGACTTACGCCACATTCTCCACCTGCTCTAACACTCAATCTCTCTCTCTCTCTCTCTCTCTCACTCCCTTGCAGACGGTGGCCGGCGTACCGCAACGGATTCCCAGCAAAATGACGTCGCGTGCCAATGGGGTTCCGGCACAGAACCACACGCTCAAAACAGGCAAGTTAAGAGGCGGGATCTGAAAAATGGGGGAAAAGAAAAAAAAAACAGAAAACGAGGAAATTAAATATATTATTAAAATTTGCAATTTGCATTTCGCAGGCATGACGACAAACTCGACGTGGTATGAGCGTTCTTCTAGTCCCGAAACGTTGCCCAGCGACATGTAAGTTGGCCCAACTACATTTTTTTTTATATACATTCATATATATCTATATGAATCGCATACAATATCGAAATCGCGTTGCCTGAAAACTTTGCTACAGCCTCTTTTTTTTTGTTTTCATTTGACATCTCTTATATACCAAGATTCGCATTTGCTGGCTTCTCTTTTGTTAATTGCTTCAGTTTGGATCTCATCTATAATTCACACACACACACTCAAACACACAGACACACATCTATACACTTATACAGATATTTCCCTTTATATTTGAATTGCCCTCTCTCTGTTTCTCTCTCGCTCTCTCTTTATCTATCTACCTCTGTTTTTTGCACACCTCATTATGCAAAAATATCGAAATTATTGCCAAGTCTTATCAAAAGCTGTAATGCATTTCTTATATCAGCGAATGTTGGAGTACTTTTGAAATAACACTGGACAACAAAGTTTTATAAAAAGTGGCGAACTGAGAGCCCAAAATATTTTAGGCAAATTTTTGTATTATTATTTGTATTATTTATTATTTTTGGAATGTGATAGGAGGATAGGAGCCCATCATTAAGGTCTTGAATATGTAATAAAAATAAATAAATATATTTGCCAGCAAAGATCTGACTCACAAATAACTGTTCTCCGTTTTATTTCCTACACTCTGTTCACGAGATCAACCGAAAATATCATATTCAATCGCGCTCTCTCTCTCTCTCTCTCTCTCTGTCTCGCTCTGAGCAAGCGCCTTCGGCTCTGTCCGTTTTGGTATTCGTTTGAGAGCCTTGGGTTGATCTATTCGTGTGACGCTCTTTTCACGAACGTCGTTTAGGCAGCGATACGATCGATGCTCGTATAAAGAGACTCAGCAAGTCAGCTAATAATGCAGAGAGTCCTCACACTCACGCACTCAATTCACGAACACAGCCCTCGTGGACATACCAATAAATAAACAAGAGACCTTTTGCTATATAAGCCTCAACGAAACGTTCGTTAAAGCTCAGAGCTGAAAGAACTGTCCGATCGAACGCACTTGTTGAAGAACCGATGCAATCGACACACAAGGGACAGACATCCAGAGACGATCAACAGTTATTTGCGAACTATGCTATTGGAATATCAAATACAGCTCTTCAGAAACCTGTAGCCTAAGTATTCACTGAATACCATTGTTCTGTAAAGATTAAGGATTTAATATTATTATAATTATGTATTATTTCATTATGTTGCATATTCAGGGGTGTTTGCTCGCTTGGTTGTTGTTATTGGGACTTAACAGGAGTTAAGAA